CATCCACTTAAATATGAAGGCTTCAAGTTTATCATTCTTTATAGCTGAGTAGTACTCCATTATATAAAAGTACCACATCTTTTTCAACCATTCCACATGTAACGGGCATTTTGGTTGTTTCCAAGTTCTGGCTGAGATAGTAGTTTTGACCCTCTCTCCCTGCTTCCCCTCCCATCTCCTCTCCCCTTGATCTGTGTGTGTGATATTGGAGGTTAGTGAGTAAGAGACAAAATATTAGATATTTTGCCTCATGGAAAGAGGGAAGAAATTTACCAAATACTATCTGAATTCTTTCATTTCCTTTGTGCATGGACGTTACCTCAACTTGAGCCAATCTTAACGATTAGACCTAAGGAAAACAGCCTGAGATAGTAGAAAATGCCAAAAACCAGTAACAGAAAATACTGCGTATGGCTTCTGCCTTGACTACCCATTGCTGCATGAATGATTTTGGAGCAAGTCTTTCACTTCTTAGGCCACAGATTATGTTAAAGTCATTTACATTGGCCTGAGGTGAGCTGCAGGGTACCTTCCTACCTATCTGGCATGTCTGCAACGTGGTGCCCTGTGGGTCACTCCCACCCGCGTGGAGCCTGGACATCCAAACCACTGTGGATCTGTTCTTGAGTCCTTGGGGAGCATGCTTTCGAGAAGACCAGGATGTTCTTTGCTAAAATCTGGTCAGTCCATGACTCAGGCCAGGACTCCATGAGAGTGCTGTTGGAAGCCTTGCTCTGGCACCTCCCTGGCAGCAAAGGACCTGGTGTGTCTCCACCCAGACTACGGAGGCTCCTGGGCAGAGCTGCTGTCGAAGTGAGCCAGTGTGATAATCCTAAAACATTGTCACCAATGACAACGAAAGTAGTCAGCAGCACATCTTTCCCCGTTTCTCTCAGCGTGCATTCCCTTATCAGAGTAGGGCACTGGAGATTTACAGGATGAGAGAGAGAGAAAGATCATCGTAGGAGTAACCTGTCATTTATATAAACCACAGAAAATGAAGAACAGGTGTAGTTTTCAGGGGAAACTTGGCTTGAAGGACTCAAACTCAAAGTCTGATTTGAAGAGTCTTTAGTACCTTGTTGTATCTGGGTAGTTCCACCAAGAGAATGAACGTGGGGTCAAGTTTTCATTTTAATTGTTCAAAGGTAGAAATTCGAAGAATACTGGGAGTTCAGCATCTGCTCTGCCATCATGTTCCACACTGGAAACAATCTGGGGCTTGGAACTAGAGTAAGAAAAATGATGGTGGACTTGGAGGTAGGTTTTTAAAAAATTAGCTGAAGGAGTTGTGACTGAGGTCTTTCCAGGGGACCACGGAGTCTGGACAAGTCTTTGTCATGTGGGAGGCCTCTGGCTTCCCTCTGACAAGCAAATAAGCTGAAATTTCCTAAGGCAGAGGACGTATTCCAGATGCAGTCTCTGGATAGAGGAATGCTCCTGGAAGGGCAACGTGGATGTTGAGGGCAGGTATCCTGCATTGCAGCCCTGCTGTTGGAGCTGCAGACTTTCTGACCATCAGTTCGGAGGCCTGGGCGCATCACTTATGCTAGATAAAAGGACCGTGCTATGCCCAGGAAGAGTGGTGGGTAGTATAAGGCATGAGCTTTGGAAGAGCCTTGGTCGTGTCTACAACTCCAGCTATGGTTCTATGTTCCGGAGAACACAGGAAAGAAATTCATCTGTAATTATCCACCCTCTGTCGTCAGACATGATCGCACACCCATGCTGTGGGAAGTCTGCTGGGAAGTACCCAGGGTCCCTGATCTGATAGTGTGTGTCCTGGAGGGAGTGGACTGGGTTGAGAGACGGTCACTGAATTGCAGCCGGAACGGGTAGGGGTCAGGGAGCAGATGCCACTGTGGGTGCTTTCCCTGCGTCAGGGACAGCTGCATGGAGGAAGCCACAAGCGAGCTGTAAGCTGAAGGGTGACTTGAAGTTATCTAGAAAACCAGGAAAGGTGGCCTTTTGGATGTCACACTGTTGTGCAGTCAGTGTACTTGAATTATAGGACCCAACAACTGATCACCCCAAGACGAGATACTCCCTGTTTTTATGTCCCCATAAACCATGTCCTATGCTCTGGGCTATGCCACCAGCCGTAGCCATGCAGTATTTCTGGAACATGTCTGCTGTGACCAGGAGCTGTCATGCTGCAGTGTCCCTAGGCATCTGCACCACAAGAGGCAGTGGAGGTCACTGCAGAGCAATTGGTTCTGAATGTGACACCAGCCCACTGTGCTGACCTCCGGAGAGGTGGATGCTTCTGAGTTTTCAGCTTTGCTCCCATCAAGCCAATAAATCTAGGATGTGGCTCAGAGCACTGCCAGGTTCTCCCTAAACCATTGTACCTGCAGCTGAAGACATACATTTGAGGGGCCAGGGAAATGGCTCAGTAGAATAAGTGCTTTCCTGGCAAGCACAAGGGACTGAGTTCAATCCCCGGTTCCGCAAAAAATAAAATAAAATAAAATTTAAAAAGACATATGTTTGGAGATAAACTGCAGTCACGTCTGCAGCAAGGCTGGAGTTACCATGCTTAGTGGAAGCCATGGTGGGTGGACAGAGCTCAGACCAGTAGGTCAGGTTCTGGAGCCCTGGGAGCCTGCCCTCCTTGATGTCAGTGTGGTTGGTGGGCTCAGCCCCTGGACAGGCATATGTGTCCCTCCAGAAGGGGGACCCTGTGGCCATACTGAAAGTTGGCCCTAAGAAAAAGGGTCTCTCCTTCAGTCCTAAACTTAGCCTTCTCTTGGCCTAATGCTCTGTTGTTTTCCCCTCTAATTTGGAAGCTTACATGTCATCTTCTCTCTGTGACCATAAATCTGTTCTGCCAGGCTGATTATTTTTCCTTTACTTTCAGGAGAGCAGATCTGGAGACAGCAACAGCTGTGTGGAAGAAATAATCCGGGTAAGAATATTCTTTTCAAAATTCTACCTATGTTTTAGGCACGGATGCCAAGTAGGGGTCATGTGTCCGTGTTAAGAGGAACCCCACAGTGGTTTGTTAATTGACATTCACCTATCCTGAAGGCATTCACTTCCCTTGCCTGTGTGACACTGAAAGAAACACTTCCCATAGAAATCTTGGGGTTCCCCTCTTGCGGGAGCCTCTGTACACACTAAGGTGGCACTCTATTAAGGCAACCAGCTGAAGACTGACCAGACTTCAGATGGCATACACTGAGGTGCCCACATGTGGATCCACCATTGATCACCCTGCTGTTTAAGAGCATCCGCTAACAGTCTGCACTTTCTGAGTCAGGCACGGTTGCCTAGTCATTTTTCTTTGAACCTTTGTTAGACCCAGAAGCATCTGACAAAGAGGTCATGCCCAGAGTCTGAAATTTCATTTTTGTCATTTGCATGTGTTTTGGTTCCCTGACACTGGCTCTCTGCTCACCTGCCCCTTGCATCATCCCACTCCTTAGCATGTCTCTGTCTCTCTCTCTCTCTCTCTCTCTCTCTCTCTCTCTCTCTCTC